TCATTCTCCCAACATTTTTGAGCTCAATTTCAAGCTGAACAATGCATTTGGTCCTAAGTAACATTGACAGATTCGTCGATTTTCTCTTTGTATCCCTACTGCCATGTACTCTGAAATGGCCAAATAACATATTCTCATTATATGGAAATGTAATAAAATTGTGCTATTATACCCCGTACAGACTATGGCCACAAACGAAGTGACAGACGACTAACTGGTGAAGAAATTCATTTAAATAATGTGGTTCACTGTAATAGAATTTTCTTGGAAGCTTGTGCCATCATCCACCAGATGGGTTAGTTTTTTTGTTTTGATTTGAACAAAGTTGATTTTGTGTACAATGATTCTTTGACAGTGTGCAAAGAGTGCGTATCATTTTGTCATTTTTTTATGCATTTCAGTTTTGAGTAGAGTGAAAGAGATAGAACCAAAACATTCTAGTACGTTTGGTGAAAATGCTAGTTCAATTCAGTAGTAGTGTTGCCATGTGGTACAATCCAGTAGTAGTGGTGTTGCCATGTGGTACACTGAAAAATTGCAATAGCAGGTTAGTCACCAAAGTTTTCGAGCCGCTCCGTCTGTCACTTCGTTTGTGCTATGGCTTACATGGTAAAAAGTGTTCACATCTAATCCAAATGCTCTTGCACTTGACTCAGTCTGTTACACACTTAATTCTTTTCGCCGAGATTCCAACAGCCGAGTATTTCTGCAATTTATTTTGCTGAGATTCAGTAAAGAAATTTCCGAGACTCAGCTAACAAATAATATTTTGCTGAGATATCAGCTAACAAACAGATATTTTGCAGGGATATCAGCAAAAGTAAATGCCGAGGTAATCGCCTGTTGGAGATTTTACCGAGCTAGATTAAGTGTGTACGAGGCACTACGAATCGAAGTGATTTATCATTGATTTTCAAGTTATTTGCGTTTTGAAACAAAGTGATTTGTCGTTGAAAAATATGTACCGTACAAACCTAGGTACAAACCCTTTAAATCAAAATGATTATCATTTGAATCGGCACCACTGTTTTCATCAATTGTGATTAGCAAATGTCAAAAACGCACATGACAAACATTACTCGTGAAGAGCAAGTCAACAACAAATGAAGTCAAGTGAGAGAAGCGATAATTCTCCCTCTTCGCCCGAAATAATTTGCGTTCTAGAGCGTGAGTAATACGAAATTGTTGTTGTTTTCAATAAAAGTGTTTTATTCAGAAAAGTTCGATTGTCAAACTTATCTAATTTATTGCTCAATGTCTCGTTTTGCTTCTACTAAAAGCCTTGCGATATTTTACAATATCGCTTGGAAACATGTGATCGAAATTGATTGTTGACACTACTACCAACAATCAATACGAAACTAACGATTTTAAATTGGCTCACTACTTGACTAGCCTTGGTCCCAAGCAAACGATTAACGTACCCCATTCTAGTCGAAATTCTAGTACTACGCAATGTTTGTTTTGATTCGCTATGAAAGTTTGACAGATAAAATTAGGGGTTATTGGTTTTTCCTATGTTTTGAGGGGTGAATCGATTAGCTTGGGACCGAAGAGAGTACCAGAGCTGAGCCAAAAAGTTGAGCACGTTATTTCGGGACCTTCTAGTCTTAGAGTTTCCTCTATGCTACTACCACAAACGAAGTGACAGACGGAGCGGCTCGAAAACTTTGGTGACTAACCTGCTATTGCAATTTTTCAGTGTACCACATGGCAACACCACTACTACTGGATTGTACCACATGGCAACACTACTACTGAATTGAACTAGCATTTTCACCAAACGTACTAGAATGTTTTGGTTCTATCTCTTTCACTCTACTCAAAACTGAAATGCATAAAAAAATGACAAAATGATACGCACTCTTTGCACACTGTCAAAGAATCATTGTACACAAAATCAACTTTGTTCAAATCAAAACAAAAAAACTAACCCATCTGGTGGATGATGGCACAAGCTTCCAAGAAAATTCTATTACAGTGAACCACATTATTTAAATGAATTTCTTCACCAGTTAGTCGTCTGTCACTTCGTTTGTGCTACTACCCTAGAGGTAACTCTAAGACTAGTAGGTCCCGAAGAAACATGCTCAACTTTTTCGCTCAGCTCTGGTACTATCTTCGGTCCCAAGCTAATCGATTCACCCCTCGAAACATAGGAAAAACCACTAACCCCTCATTTTATCTGTCAAACTTTCATAGCGAATCAAAACAAACATAGTGTAGTACTGGAATTTATACTAGAATGGGATACGTTAAAAGATTTGCTTGGGACCAATAGGCTAGTCAAGTAGTGAGCCAATTTAAGATCGTTTGTTTCGTATTGATTGTTGCTACTACCGAGTTACCTCTATGCTACTACTGGATTGAACTAGCATTTTCACCAAATGTACTTGAATGTTTTGGTTCTATCTCTTTCACTCTACTCAAAACTGAAATGCATAAAAAATGACAAAATGATACACTGCCACACTACATAAAAAATGACAATGCACACTGTCAAAAAATCATTGTACACAAAATCAACTTTGAGCAAAACCAAAACAAAAATACTATCCCATCTGGTGGATGATGGCACAAGCTTCTAAGAAAATTCTATTACAGTGAACCACATTATTTTAATTGATTTCTTCGCCAGTTAGTCGTCTGTCACTTCGTTTGTGATAAAACGCTGTCCAGACTGGATAGTTATAACATAGAGGTAACTCTAAGACTAGTAGGTCCCGAAGAAACTAGCTCAACTTTTTGGCTCAGCTCTGGTACTATCTTCGGTTCCAAGCTAATCGATGCGCCCCTGGAAACAACGGAAAATTCATGAACCCCTAATTTTATCAACCAAACTTTCATAGCGAATCAAACAAACATAGTGTAGTAGTAGAATTTCGACTAGAATGGGGTACGTTAATCGATTTGCTTGGGACCAATAGGCTAGTCAAGTAGTGAGCCAATTTACAATCGTTAGTTTCCACCGGTTGTCTATATGGTGTGCGCAGTGCACACTCAAAATTATTATTAATCAAAGATAGTATAAAAATTAATCTATGTTTGGTTACGCAAAGTTCATACATCGATCTGATTAAATTTCACCTGCAAAATTATACTACGTTCGAATAATGATGTGAAATATTTTTAGTGTACACCACTGACTTTGGCTTTGCGCTAAACAACATACGCGCAGTCGCAGACGAAAACATTCAGAACGATTTAGAGAATATTCGCGTGGAAAGTTACTCGTTAAAGGCTTCCAATCAAGTAGATAATACATTACCAAATGGATTTGATGGTCAACATACGGAGATATGCGAGAAATGAGGTAGGTGCAAAAGAATATTGCAGTGAAATTGCACTAACTTAATAAATTCGTTTTAGCCATACACTAACATCGTCACCAAGTTAGGCATACTCGCTCATCCAATACCAGCTTCGGAAGCAATGGCCAGTAGCGGAAGCACTAAGAAAATTCCGAGTATTGTCATGATCAGCCGTACCTCGTTCCATGTTGGACCCATGCGCGCAGTTTCGTTTGTCCAGGACAGTTTATGAAAGAGCAGAACAGTAAACTGTCTTCCATTAATTTCTACCGTTGGTGCCGTTCGGCAATTAGTCCACTCGACATCGATCATTACGGAATGTTCGAATGCGAAGAATCTGACCACTTTAGAATGTTCAACCGCTTGGGCATACCAGTTCCGGCTATGGGGAGGCTTTTATACCACAGTATATGATTCTAGCAGTGGAAGCAACATCAACGGCAGAACATGTCCCGGAATTGCAGCAAGTAACGCAGTGAACGTGACAATACTGACGACAATACATATGATCACTAGCCAGACTAGCAGTGGCTTTAAGTGTATACCAAATCATAGCTTCAAACGACCGAACATCCCGCGGCTCAGAATCAGGTTGGTTCGAATGAATTTTTCGATGGTTAATGGGATTGATTTTTAATTATGACCCATTTCAGTAATAACGTTCACCGAGCAAGTGATTCACATCAACACGAATGTCGGCATCATGCTAACCAAAGGATAAAGAAAGTAAATTCTAGGACCTGCCCTCATAAACAATAAGCATAACAAGCACCTAACCACCAATTCGGGATATCATCCCAACTTTATGTGGTATGGTCGCACTATCTATTATATCGTTAGTGTATGGTACCCTAGATGGTACCCGTTTATTAGGGTGATGTTCTTCCGGTTGGTGCAAAAGTGATCGACCTGGTGCGCAACACATGTACGAAGATGCTCAAGTACAATAAATCGCTCGACAATCGGAATCTGCTATTCTCATAAATGTTAAAAAGTTATATTTATGTAATTAATGTATATTAAATTAAGTTAAATTTTGTTCAAAAAAAAATAATAACAATAGGTAAATATTTAGAAAGCCGAAAATACAACATTAATACATATTTGCCAAATAGAGCAACACTATACACAATTTGCATACTTTCAGTTTATACTATTGGATGTATAATTCCTTTTTTATACTAAGTTTGTATTGTCTCCTTTTTTATCGAGCTATGCGTCGGTCTGGAGAGTCGAGATTAAATCTAAATTTTAGCGTAGTTTTTATACTACCTAGATTTGAAAACTGTTTGAGTGCAGGTGGTACTGCAATCTAGTACCTCCTGATGTAGCATTCCTTACCCCCAGCATTGTGCGATCACTCTGTCGTTTTTTTTCAGAATAATGTCACTGAAGCCGAATGTTTTGATGCCAACATATCATTAGAGCAAAACTACTTTTGTAGACGAAAACTTCAACCAACGATTTCTTGCAAATAAAAGTTCACTTCAGCAAATTAATCATACCAGCTGGTAGAAAAATATTCATCTACTTAAAAGTTTTTAAAGTTTGCATGTTTGAGCATTTATTCTCGAGAAATCGACGGCTAAAGCCATTGTTAGCAAAAGCAGTTTCGCCTTTTTCAAATATTGATCAAGGTTTGTTTTGCTTTATACGCTGGCAAAAAAAAATCACGCAGGGAAAAGTGAATCTTTTTGATTAATTTCCGATTTTTAATACGCGATTTTGTTCCCTGCAAGATATAGTGCAATAAACTTTACTGTGATAAACCGACGAATCATAATCAAAGTCTAATAACCGCGATGGTCAGTCAGGTGGTCATTTTAGGCAGTGTTCGCGTTCCAGTAGTATTCGTCCAGTATTAGATCATCATCTGCATCTCCAACGGGGCTTATTTTTGCTGGATCGTTTGAGAATATGTTCAACCATCAAGTGGTGCGGAAACAACCTCAGTCGTATTCATTCTCCACCTGTAGACTGGGCTGCTAATCAGCGTTGCGCGTTTCATCATTTGCACGGCAATCAACAGCAGTTGCTGGTCGTAGACGAATCTCGAGAACGCCGACGATCAAAATCAGCGATAAAAATGACGAACCCTCGGATAAACTGGGGCGAGCTGTTCCCCAGCAAGAAGAGTGTGCTCATTTTTATCACATATATGTCGCTGTTCGTCGGTCAGGGTGAGTGAGGCGGAGCAATGCTTTGATTGAGCACGGCGAGCGTGGGAGGTAACGTTTGCTTTTTGGTTGCAGGAATTCTGGTGACGGCCTCGCAGCGTGCTGATAACAGCTATAGCTACAATACGGTGCTTGTGGTTCTGATGACTGAAGTGCTGAAACTAGTAATCTCTACTGGGCTCTATTGCAGAGAGTGAGTCAAAGCAGTTGAGATTGATGGTCAGTCGAATGTTTGATTTAATGTTTTACACTTTCTAGGCATACTTTCAAATCTCTGGTGGCGAGAGTGGTTGAAGGAAGGGATGTTCTGCTACTGTATTTTGTTCCCGCATTCTTGTACTGTCTGTACAACAATCTTGCCTTCGTTAATCTATCGACATTCGATCCGACGACATATTATCTACTACTGCAGCTTCGGGTCGTGATTACTGGAGTTCTATTCCAGGTAATTTTTAAGAAATCTTTAAGTCGGAAGCAGTGGTTCTCGCTGTGCTTGCTAACGGTCGGATGTATGTTGAAACAATGGAACTTTTCATTGCCACTAACGGGCGAGACGCCTTCGGACGACAAATCGCTTGCAGATGCAGCTAAACAATCGGCAGACGTGGCTGCTGGAAACACTTTCCGAGGGAAAAACATCTCCGGTTTTGATCTCAGTTTCAGCGCCGTATTGATCCTGGTACAGACGGTTTGTTCCTGCCTGGCTGGCGTTTACAACGAGTACCTACTGAAACACAAAGGATCCGATATTAACATCTACGTTCAGAATGTCTTCATGTATCTGGATTCAATCGTATGCAATCTGCTGATACTGATGTTCCGTGGTGAGTTGTCTGCAGTCGTCACCAAAGACCATCTGGTTGAAGTATTCCGCTTCGAGGTGCTTGTGATTATGATCAACAATGCAGCGATCGGCATCATCACCAGTTTCTTCCTCAAGTACATGAATTCGATTCTGAAAACATTCGCTAGTGCGCTGGAGCTCATGTTCACCGCATTGTTAAGTTATTTGCTGTTCTCGATCCCGATCTACATCAACACCGCACTGGCAATATTCGTCGTGTCCTATGCGATTTATCTGTACTCACTAAATCCCGTGGTAAACTTGGCAGGTAAGCCAGGATCGAGCAGTGCTCGAGAAAAGGACGAAAGCCGAAAAGCTTTGATGGGCAAAAGTGAGGACGACGACATCGAGCTTCAGATGGAGGAAGTTTAATGATCCGCTTTCTTTGTGTATGTGTTGTTGTTTTTTCACCAAAAATATCCACTTTTACGACCACTGCATCATCTTCGTCACACTCACCGCGAGTGTGACTCTGGACCATTTCAGTTCATTGTTCTTACTTAGGTTTAAGCAACAAACCGCGCATATCTCGACGGTGCCGGTTTCGTCGAGTTTAAAAAGAAACCCCTTTTAGGACACTTATAAATCTTTGTATAGATGGAAACTATTTATATGTTGTACTTCTTAACACAATTACACGATGGAACTTTATTATGTTTTCAAAAAGCGTAGTGAAAATTCCAAGTCTGACAGTGATCCTTTTGTGTTGCATATTTTTTCCTACAGTGGATTATCACTTTTCGTTTCTATAAGCACCCTCCTAATCGCCCATTTCGGGTCTATCGAGCAGAAAACATCAAATAAATCCATTGTTTCGGAGTTAACAAGTCAATTATGCGTTTGGTATGATAATTTAGTTCAAAAGCTACCGAACGAAGTCAATGAGAACGCGTGATATAAATGTTTACATCCATTTTCCTAACAAACATTTTTTTTTTGGTATGGAAAATACACGGCCAACCATACCAACTTAGCGACTGAGATTAATTGACTCAGAGAATTTTCTTTCCATACGAAGTTTACTCAGATTTGGAATTAACTGCAGTTACTCACAAGCTATGAGTAACTGCAGTTTATTTCAAAGCTGAGTAAATTTCGTATGGAAAGAAAATTCTCTGAGTCAACTATTCTCAGTCGCTGAGTTGGTATGATTGGCCGTGTACGGTTCGAACAAAACCGAGAATATGGGTGAATATTTCAACAATTTTTTTCTCTTTAGCAATTCTTACAATACGCACGGAAAGGTAAATAGATTTAGAAGTCATCTGCAGTGAAAACATTCCATTTTCAGAAAAAAAACCCACTCGAAAAATAGAGGCAAAGGGCGGGTTGTGCTAAGTAATTGTAATTGTTCAGTGTATTATAATAGGCTGTGCCAACCGCTAAGTTGGCTTATCTAGGGATAAACCCCCTAGTCTACACACCTACTGTCCTTCCCGTTGCACTCGTCAGCTCGTGCGATACTCTAAACACACATGGGTGGTCGTATCCGGGTCCTCCCCTGGGTAGGCTCGTGTCCGTCCAGGTTCTGGTACATTAACTTATATCTATGCATGGTAATTATACTTTACAACTCACCTTTTGATTATAAATGTCGATAATGCTGAAACTATATGAAGTTTAGTGATCATTATTAGGTGTGTGCTGCAATGGAGTAGTAATTCCAGGAAATGAGGTTCTCATGTGGCTTATAAGCGAAGACAACAAATCAAGAAGACTGGCAACTTTGCCAGAATCCAAGCGAGAGATACAGGGCCTTATTACGAGTGTCACTTCACGGTGAAAACGAAGTGAAGTGACCAGTTGTCACTCACGGTGAAGTGATTGCCGTGTAAATCAAATGGGAATCACTTCACCGTGAGAGAGAAGTTGTCACTTCACCGTGAACTGACATCGGTAATAAGGGCCACAATGGCGCTGCGCTTGAGTGAAGGTGAAAGCAACGCATAGAAAAATGAGCAAATACACAAACCCTTCTTCTGAGGATGCAATCTTTGCTATCAAATTCGTTCGAAGCATTTACCTTTGAGCGGCAGATGACGCGATTGTACCTGTCTCATAGCGTTCGTATGAGAAAATGGAAGAGTTGCCAGTCTTCTTGATTTGTTGTCTTCGCTTATAGGTAATTCTAAAATAGGTAAATCATGCAAGCACACACCTTTTACAATTCTTATCCTACTTACCAGTATAAATCGGCTGTCTCCAACCGACGTGATCCTTTCTTACTGCTTACTCTCTTCTTTTCTTGTTCACACTTTCTCGATTTTTTTCCTTTCTATTGAGCATCTGGCATCCCATTTGTTCTCAGGCAGGTAATATTGGTACATGAGAGGAAGAAAGAAATAGAACAAGTGTGAGCCGCATGCGCTGGTTAGTCGTTTGGGTCATGGTGTTGTGTTCGCTATTTTATTTGCCTCTATTCAGCTCTCAGATCGCCCCCTCCCCCAAAACTATTGTGGATGAAAAAAAGAACCCATATTTGGTAACCTTTCGCGAGCTGCAATGCATAAGATATGAATAACAAACAACATCTAGAACGGGGCTTAAACATATAACATTTTCTAAGACTGATCATGATTAATATAGTATGAATAATGAGAATTGTAAGAAGAAAAGGCGATCCCAAAAAACAGTTCCCTAGCAATAAAACTATTACTATGCGCTAATATGAGTTATTTCAAAATGGGAATCCATACTCAGAAACTATACCCGACCTCAACAAACTGTACCGAAATCAGAACAGCTAAACTGCCGTTCTACGCATATCAGTCGCATGTTTCAAAAGTTGCTTCTGAGAAAATCGCGAATAATGTTTCGAATCATTTCTGCTCATTGGAAGAAATATACGTTAAAATAAGTTAGAGCATTGTTCACATTTCAACAGAATCAATATGTTTTAGTGAAAAATTCAGAAATTACCTTCAATGAAATCAGTTATCCTATTTTTATACGAACAATATTTAATGGGACTGTTATGCATAGAAATGGTTGGTTAATGCTGGGTAATGCGCAATACAGATCCCATTGAGATCACTAGCCTCTTCCCAGCAACTCCTATCCCTACCTCCCCGTGGTACCGGCCGGGAACTGTGAGCAACCTTAGAGAAGATCGGGTAACCAACCCCGGTGGGAACTTTGGTTATAGGCTGACAGGGAAGGGGGGGTTTGCTTCGGCAAGCCTGAGCGTCTGTTCTCCAGGAGGAGCGGCTCACAACAGCGTCTGTTCCCATGTTAGAGGGGGCGGCTGATCTACGTCCGAGTGCCAGTGAAGGACTCTAAGCACAACTGTGCACCCTGGTCCTCCGGAAAGTTAGGGGGTTGGTGTCAGGCCCTGCGAGCCAGCCGTAAAAAAAGCATTGCAACGGAAAATCAGCAACAGAGGAATACGAACCGAGACCAACGGCAACGACCCCAGCGACGAAATAGGACTTGGGATTGGAAACTCGGCACGTGGAACTGTCGATCTCTCAATTTCATCGGGAGCACCCGAATACTCGCCAATCTACTGAAGGACTGCGGATTCGGTATCGTAGCGCTGCAGGAGGTGTGTTGGACAGGATCCATGGTGCGAACGTTCAGAGGTAATCATACCATCTACCAGAGTTGCGGCAACACACGCGAGCTGAGCACAGCTTTCATCGTGATGGGCGAAATGCAGAAGCGCGTGATCGGTTGGTGGCCGATCGACGAAAGAATGTGCAGGTTGAGGATCAAGGGCCGATTCTTCAACTTTAGCATAATCAACGTGCACAGCCCTCACTCCGGAAGCACTGATGATGACAAGGACGCATTTTACGCGCAGCTCGACCGCGAGTACGATCACTGCCCAAGCCACGACGTCAAGCTCATCATAGGAGATCTAAACGCTCAGGTAGGCCAGGAGGAGGAATTCAGACCGACGATTGGACAGTTCAGCACCCACCAGCTGACGAACGGGAACGGCCTACGACTCATCGATTTCGCCGCCTCCAAGAACATGGCCATACGTAGCACCTTCTTCCAACACCACCTCCCCTATCGTTACACCTGGAGATCACCACAGCAGACGGAATCACAAATCGACCACGTTCTGATTGATGGACGGCACTTCTCCGACATTATCGACGTCAGGACCTATCGTGGCGCTAACATCGACTCTGACCACTACCTGGTGATGGTCAAACCACAAACGAAGTGACAGACGACTAACTGGCGAAGAAATCCATTTAAATAATGTGGTTCACTGTAATAGAATTTTCTTGGAAGCTTGTGCCATCATCCACCAGATGGGTTAGTTTTTTTGTTTTGATTTGAACAAAGTTGATTTTGTGTACAATGATTCTTTGACAGTGTGCAAAGAGTGAATATCATTTTGTCATTTTTTTATGCATTTCAGTTTTGAGTAGAGTGAAAGAGATAGAACCAAAACATTCTAATACATTTGGTGAAAATGCTAGTTCAATCTAGTAGTAGTGTTGCCATGTGGTACAATCCAGTAGTAGTGGTGTTGCCATGTGGTACACTGAAAAATTGCAATAGCAGGTTAGTCACCAAAGTTTTCGAGCCGCTCCGTCTGTCACTTCGTTTGTGGTCAAACTGCGCCCAAAACTTTCCGTCACCAACAATGTACTGTACCGACGCCCGCCACGGTACAACCTAGAGCGACTGAAGCAACCGGATGTAGCCTTAGCATACGCGCAGAATCTCGAGGCAGCGTTGCCAGAGGAGGGCGAGCTCGATGTGCCCCCTCTAGAGGACTGCTGGAGTACAGTAAAAGCAGCCATCACCGACGCAGCCGAGAGCACCATCGGGTACGTGGAAAGAAGTCGACGGAATGAATGGTTCGACGAGGAGTGCAGAGCGATTTTGGAGGAGAAGAACGCAGCGCGGGCGGTAATGCCAACAATCAATACGAAACTAACGATTTTAAATTGGCTCACCACTTTAGTAGCCTATTGGTCCCAAGCAAACGATTAACGTACCCTATTCTAGTTGAAATTCTATTACTACACTATGTTTGTTTTGATTCGCTATGAAAGTTTGACAGATAACATCAGGGGTGTGTGGATTCATGCAGAACATGCAGGGGTGAGTGAAATAGCTTGGGACTGCTTGGGACCGTTGTTGTAGTACTGAGTGAGCCAAAAATAATAATGATTTTCTTCGGGACCCAGTGGTCTTAGAGTTACCTCTATGGTAATGCTGCAGCATGGAACCCGACAGAACGTGGAACGGTATAAACAGAAGTGGAAACAGCAGACCTGCATCTTTCGGGAGAAAAAACGCCGCCTGGAAGAAGCGGAGTGCGAGGAAATGGAACTGCTGTGCCGTTCCCAAGAAACACGGAAATTCTACTAGAAGCTCAACGCATCCCGCCACGGCTTCGTGCCGCGAGCCGAAATGTGCAAGGATAAGGACGGGAGCCTCTTGACGGACGGACGTGAGGTGATTGAAAGGTGGAAACAGCACTTCGATGCGCACCTGAATGGCGAGGAGAACGTAGGCACGGGAGACCAGCGCAATGGAGGAAACGACTACGTCAGTGCAGCAGAGGATAGAACTGATCCAACTCACACGCTGAGGGAAGTTAAGGACTCCATTCAGCAGCTCAAAAACAACAAAGCAGCTGGTAAGGATGGTGTCGCAGCCGAACTCATCAAGATGGGCCCAGAAAAGTTGGCCACCTGCCTGCACCGGATGATAGTCAGGATCTGGGAAACAGAACAGCTACCGGAGGAGTGGAAGGAGGGGGTAATCTGCCCCATTCACAAGAAAGGCGACCATTTGGAATGTGAGAACTTCAGAGC